CACTAAGGAGATGGCTGCCGTAGCTGATGATGATGCGGTTTCCGAAGATGAAGCGGGTCCTTCGGGTGTTGTCAAAGTCCCTTCTGAAGGCGAGGAAGATTGACCTCTGGGCTTGTGAGCTCGTTTGTGTTTTTTGTTTGTTTTTTTTTTTAACACTGTAAAGCAAACATTTAGCAATGAAGTATTTTTTCTATTCAAATGTGTTGTGCAAATATTCTCCATTTGTCGAAGTGACTATACCCGAGCTGCTAGACTTGTGCCCCGAGGTGAGTTAACATAGTAAGGCTATGTGTCCGATCTGTTCTCCGCCTCGGGATCCATACTTGTGCAGATTGCTTTCATCGATGAGGTGCCGAGGTCATCTTTAGCTCGGCATTCTGCCCCTTTTGGTGCCGAGGTCCTTGTTAGCTCGGCATTCTGGGCCTTAGGGTGCCGAGGTTTTTGCTAGTTCGACAGTGGCTCATGGCTTGCTTAGTTTGATAACTTATAAGTAAAACCGTCTTAAGTTGACGATGTTCCATTCCCGGGGTATCTGCTTACCTTCCAGGGTCTCGAGCTCGTACGCTCCCCCGAGTTCTCTCTTCACTCGGTAGGGTCCTTCCCAGTTCGGCCCGAGTTTTCCAACGTCGGGTTTGGGTACCATGATTTTGCGGAGGACCAGGTCGCCGACGCGAAAGTCTCGTTTCTTAACTCTGGCGTTGTAGTACCGAGCTACCCTTTGCTGGTATGCTGCGGTTCTGATGTATGCGTGGTCCCTCGCCTCGTCAAGTAGGTCGAGGTTGGTACGTAGCTCGTCGTTATTAGTATTGTCATTGTATGCTTCCAACCGAAGTGAGGGGATCTCGATTTCGGCTGGGATGACTGCCTCCGTGCCGTAAGTGAGGTTGAAGGGGTTTCTCTAGTGGCGGTCTTCTCTGTAATCCTTTAGCTCGGTCTAGCCTAGCTTTTAGTCCTTTAGCTCGGTCTAGCTCGGCTGGGATGACTGCCTCCGCCCATAGTTCTTTAGCTCGGTCTAGTTGGCTTTTAGTCCGCGAAGGATAGCTCTGTTCGTGACTTCTGCTTGACTGTTTGCTTGTGGGTGCGCGACCGACGTGAAGCCCGAAGCGCGACCACTCTTAGAATTTGACGTCTTCAAAATGCTTGCCGTTGTCGGAGATCAGCACCCAAGGTAGCCCGAAGCGGCACACTATGTTCTTCTAGAAGAAGTTCTGGACATTTCGAGCTATGATGGTTACGAGAGTTTTAGCTTCAACCCACTTGGTGTAGTCTACCGCCACTACTAGGAACTTACTTCCTCCTGTTGCTGGCGGGAATGGTCTGAGCAGGTCGATACCCCATTGTGCGAAGGGTCGTGGGCTGGTGAGGTACTTGAGGTCGGCAGCGGGCTGATGATGGATATTGGCGTGCTTTTGGCACTTCTCGCATTTATTGATTAGCCCGAAGACATATGTTTTCATTGTTGGCCAATAATACTCCTGTCGTAGTGCTTTCTGAGCAACGGCCCTGTCCCCCAAGTGTCCGCCACATAGGCCTTCATGAATGTCGCAGAGTACGAGCTCGGCTTCGGGAGGTCGCAAGTAGCGCAGGTAGGGGAGCGTGTAGGATCTTCGGTACAGCCGTCCGTCTATCATGACGTATTTGGCTGTCTGACGCTCTACCCTCCTAGTGGCGTTGCGTTCTTCGGGGAGGGTTCCATGTAGCAGGAAGCTCGCGAGTGGATCAATCCAGCTCGGTTTTGCTTGGGCGACAGGAGCGACCTCCTCTGCCCCCCGGAGAATGCTAGGCCGAGGTAACTCTTCTATGTACACAGTTCTCATGGTGTTGTCACTGGTGCTGGCTAGCCGGGACAGGGCGCCGGCCTCAGTGTTCTCTGACCTCGGGATTTGCTTGATGAAGTGTGATTGGAAGTTAAGCAATGCTTCTTTTACCTTTGCCAAGTAGGCGATCATAGCTGGCTCGCGGGCTTCATATTCCCCTGTAACTTGGTTGACCATGAGCTGGGAGTCGCTGCAGATAACTATGTGTTTTGCCTTTACTTCTTGCGCCAGGGCTAGCCTGGCTATCAACGCCTCGTATTCTGCTTCATTGTTGGATGCCGCGAACTCAAAGCGTAGTGTGTACTACAATTTCGTGCCACTCGAACCATGGAGAACTACACCGGCTCTGCTGCCTTGCTGGTTTGAGGAGCCATCTGCGTGAAGGATCCAGGGCTCTTCATCACAGTTCGCGCTTGGCCTAACCAGGAGAGATACCGAACTGGGTGCGACCTCACAGGGCTTGGACTCAGCCGGCCTGGGAGCACCGAGCTCACCCGAACTGGGAGCCTCGTGCTCAATCGGGCTGAGGACCTCGGAGCTGAACGTGCATTTTGCAACAAAATCTGCCAAGGCTTGAGCTTTGATGGCGGTTCGAGGCTTGTACTGGAGATCGTATTCACTGAGTTTGATGGCCCACTTCGTCAATCGTCCAGAGACCTCGGGCCTGAGTAGTATTTGCCTCAAGGGTTTGTCGGTGAGGACGATGATGGTATGAGCTTGGAAATACGGGCGGAGTTTGCGGGCCGCAGTGACCAGCGCAYAGGCTAGCTTTTCTATCTCTGGATATCTTGTTTCTGCTCCCTGCAATATCTTACTAACATAGTAGATGGGTCGTTGGACCCGATCTGCTTCCTTTATCAGTACCGAACTGACCACTTCGTTGCTTGTCGAGAGGTACAATTCTAAAACATCGCCCTCTTCGGGTCGGGTCAACACTGGATGCTGGCGAGGTATTTCTTGAGATCGTCAAATGCGAGCTGGCAGTTTGGGTTCCACTCGAACCCTTTGCCTTTTATTGCCTTGAAGAAGGGTAGGCAACGGTCTGCTGACTTGGACATGAAGCGACTCAGAGTGGTTATCCTGTCATTTAGCCTCTGAACCTCTTTTACTTTTCGGGGTGGTCTCATGTCTAGGATGGATTTTATTTTGTTCGGGTTGGCCTCAATATCGCGCCGGTTGACGATGTACCCTAGGAACTTACCCGAGATGATACCAAAGATACACTTGTTTGGGTTTAGTTTCATGCTAAATTGACGCAGAATTTGGAAGACAGAATGCAAGTCTTGTATTAATTCATGTGAAAACTGTGTCTTGACGACCATGTTGTCTACATAACATTCTATCTTCATGCCAATTAAGGGCTGAAATAGCTTATTCACGAGTCTTTGGAAGGTCGCCCCAGCATTTTTCAGTCCGAAGGGCATGACCTTGTAGCAGTATAGGCCGAACTCGGTTATAACACAACTTTACAACTCTCAAAGGGGGTTATAATGAACAATCCTTTTAACTTCAAATGAAGTATTAGTAGGTCGACAATCCTTTTTCAGTCGTTAATCTGACTTTTAACTTGAATTACATATTTGTTTTCCCACTCTTCCCTTCTAGTATATGTTATCAACCTACTCTATCCATTGCTCTTTGTCAAGGCCACGAACTCTTGTTTCTTGTATTTTTTTTTCTCTCTAACCCTCCATTTTTGCTGTTGCCAGGTCTTGTTCGCTTTTTAGTAAGTTACTTAATTACTTGGGTAAATGCAATTACCTAGGTAAGTTTTTCCTAGGAAACACTTATCCAGGTAAGTGTATTTACCCATGTTCTTTTATTTTCCAAGTAAAAAAAAGAAAAGAAAATGGCCATTTTATCCATAAAAATCCATTATTAAAAGGGGCATTTTTGTCCCATTCAAGTGTTGAAAACTTTTCCCTTTGGTCTAGGAGATGGGTATCATGAATTACCCAGGAAGATAAACTTTCCCTAGTCCCCACATTAATCTGAAAAAACAACATGGGATTCTTGGTTAATGGAAACCAAAATCCGATTAACCAACTTTAACTTCCCCCTTCTCAATATCCAAATAAAGAATGCCCCCAAGTGTGAAACAAACTCCATTAATAGCAATGCACTTACATCCTTCCAACCTTGCTCGTCTTCCTTCAAGGAAGCAAACCAATTGCTCGTCTTCCTTCAAGGAAGCAAACCAATTGCTTCCATATATAAGCCTTTGGTATTCCTCTTGAATTCTAACACGTATCTTTTACCTTCTTCAGTGCCGTACTACTCCTAGTTTGGTTGTTTCACTTTAGCACTTGGTTCACTAATAAACTCCTTAAACCAGTCAATCACTTCAATGTCCTTTAACAACATAGTTGCCTTCTTTACTTCCCCAATCTTCAAGCTCAGCACACCCCTGATTACAAGAACTCCTTAGTGCTTCAACTTTCAAAGCTCTCCTCTATCGTCCAACATCCACGAACTAACTTATTCTTCATCATCACTTGTTTAACCTTTTTTTTCTTGAAGCACAATGCACTGCTCTTACTGAAGTGTTTTCTATGGTTATAGCTCATCAAAGGATTTTCCAAGCATGGTCTGTGACTTGGCCTAGCTAACCAAAGCTCAAGGGTCATTTTGTCTAAAAGCTACTTCCTATCTGGAGCCAGGTGACCTAATAAGTGCTTAGGCAACAAAGTGGTACCCTATTCCTTGGCCTTGCTTTGTCACCCTTGTAACTATGAAATTAACTTATGGGTTAACTATAAAAACAAAAATGAGTCATGTAGATTTTAGGACTATCTATAAGTGTATAGAATCCATACTCTCTATTTCTTGATTGGCACAACAACTTGGAAACACACTTATACCTTGTTTAAAATGTGCATTTACATGCATAAAATATTGATAACAATTTCTTATCTGAGTCAATTATTCTTGCAGACTTGAAAATTTGGAGTTGATGTCAAATGTAGGGAAACTTTACAACCAACAGTTGGAGGCATTCTTTTTGACCGCCGCTATAAGGATATCTGAGGCGGCGGTTTTAAATGCTGCCGCGGCAGTTTATATTAATAGACTCGACGGATTTTATAATGAACCGATCTAATCGTTTAATGAACCGGTGGATTTTACAACAAACCGGTCTAACGCGGGAGAGTAAAATATTTTCTCTCCCGCGCGAAGTCTTTCCTGTTCGACAAGATAGGAGGGTTCTCTTTCCAGAGAAAACCTTGCAGAAAATTTCCGAAGACGACAAGCTTCTTCACGAGAAAGAAAGATAGTAGACTTCTGTCCGTTCAAGCAAGAGAGGAGAAAATTTCTGGGCCATTCTCTGGGCGACCTCTGTCCGTTCAAGCAAGAGAGGAGAAATTTCAGCGGCAGTGAACAGTGAGAAGTGAGAACCAGCCGACCATCTTCCTCCTCTGCCATTCTCAAGGTGGGTTTTTTTACTATTTTCCCTTATTCTATCTCTAGTTTCTTTCTCATCTTTTAAGCATCCATTACAATCATCTACAGACAATAATTTCTTCATCAAAAGATGCTCATTCTAGCAATTTTTGTTTTTAGTTTAAATCTTTTAGTTTCGGAACTGATCTTGATTTCCCTTATTCTCTAGACAAAAGTTTCTTTCTCTAGCAATTTTTGTTTTCCCTTATTCTATCTCTAGTTTCGGAACTGATGATCTTGATTTTTTTTAAATCTTTTAGTTTTTTACTTAAAGGAGTACAATTGTAATTTTTCATCAGTTATGAATTCTATTATACACACAGATCTGGCCAAATGAGAGTATTTTTTTTTCTGTCATTCAGCAGTTTCATTTTTCTCAGAGCAGTTTGGAAATCAGAGTTAGATACTATTCTGGAGTTTCAAGTCCAACTGCCCATTTAGGCATTTACTGAAAGCTTCTCTGTATGGATTGTTGCATTCACTTTCTATATCTTCTTCTTGACAGATATCTGATGCAAACTGTTGCATATACATGCAGTTTCTTTTTCTTTTATGGATGCATATGCAGTTACTTAAAGCTTTTCGTTTTTGTCACAATATCATACACTAACTGTTAAGGTTAACATTATTAAAATTCTGAAACAGAACAGTAAAAAAAAAAGAAAAAATAATCTGAAACACAACTGGATCAGATCACCAGAAAAAGACTAACAGCAGAGTGTATTCCACTTCACTAGATCGGGCAATCATGGAAACTAATGGATCACCAAGAGTCTTGGATCCCTCTCGGGCCAATTCATCCAACCAATTGTTAAGAGTGGGACACATAACCTCTATGTTATCTCAGCACTAATCTTTTTGAACTATTTTACTAGAAGATTAAAGGATGTCTTTCCAACCCAATAACATGAACGGAGAAGACAATGGATTGGATCCAATCTTGATAAAAAAAGAACCATCCATTGATGCCTTCATAATGCTACTAAAACCGTAGACTTTGCTTCTCTAATTAATTTTCTCTCACAGTTCTAAGCCACTTGATAAAATGAGAGGAATACAAGCCAAAATCTATTGTAAGTGCAAAGGTTGTCATCTAATTAGTAAAGAAGAGGAAAAAAAGGATTAAAACAGAAAAGAGAAATAAAAGGGCTGGAGTTTTTATTCTCTATCCTCAAGTTGCCTGTCATAAGATCCAAATTCAGAAGAGATCTCCAAGATGAAGAGACTAATCACGACTGTAAAAGATTCAACTGTGCGTAACAAGTAAAAAAAAAAAAAAGAAAAAGAAGGGGAAGAAAAAAGGAGAGGAGACTAGTCAAGAGATTAACTATGCATCTCCATGAGAATATGCTCTTCTAGGTGCCAAATCACTTGGATACAGCATGTCAATTCCCATTGTTTCTTGGTTCAACAAATATTGGCCCAAGATAGCTTGGTATTAGCATTTCTAGACTAGGAGATGGGCTGCAACTGACAGGTATTGTAGAGTTAAAAAAGGGTTTGACTGTAGTCACAGAAGATGTGAGCTCAATTAAAAAATTCTCTACCATCGGCTTTAGGAGAGAGAGAGAGCTACAAAGATTAACAAAACTAGGTTTTAGTTAGGAAGCTTGAAATCTGAAGGAAGTTGTAGAACTGGGCCGTATATACAAGATCATGGGTGTTAGAACCATAAACCGAAACCACCCAACTTTAGTCTTACTTTTGAATGGAGTAACTGGGATTTTATAAAGACTTCACCGAAACCATTTATGTGTCCTAGCAGCAATATCTGACAGGGGGTTCTTTGGAGGTTTGAAAAAGTAAGGGTGACTATGAGAATTGACCAAAAAGGGAAGGGTAGTTTTAAATAATAACTCTACCAAAAAACAGATTAACGACCCCCACCCCCACCCCCCAATTCTCTCCAACTTTACATCCCTCCCTTCTTCCTTTTCCACCTTTACCTAACCAAAAACCCCAAGTGCAATGCTAGAGACACCAAAACACTGAAACAAAGGATGGCCTGTCCCAAATTCCTACAAATGAGATGTTTTGTGATCTTTGATTCCCTTTGAAAACTGTTGGGCTATTTGGAAGGAGCTTTGGAAAACTTTTGATAGATCGGAAAAGCTGGTGATTCACAAAAATGTGGACACAGTAGCTCTCTTATGGGCTGGGTTCCTGTGTTCTACAGGATAACACATGGTAATAACAACTCGTAGACTCCTGAGGGAGATTAAAAAATTACACAATCACATTGATCCTTGAACTGATCCCAAATAATACCAATACATTTAGAGAATTTGTCCAGCTCATCAGGATGCCTTCTAAGTCAAATCAGTCATTGAAGAATATAGAAAAGAAGAATAGAAACTTGAAGGAGTGCCAGTTTGTATGTTCTGTCCAGACCTATTGTTGATATTGCTGAGATACAGCAGTTTCTTATAATCTTCTTTCTTTATAATCATTAGTCAGTGTTATTGGATCCTTAGTGTAATTGGACCCAAGGCCTATTAGTTTATGTTGTTTTTTTGGAGCTATTTTTATGTTATGAACAGTATCCGCCCCATTAAGGGTGTTTTTAGTCTTTGTAATCAATCTTTTTTACGAGTATATAAGATAATGGCTGGGGTAGACAGATCATTATTGGCTTCTCTCCATCTCTTGTTCTCAGTTCATAATGACTGGGGCAGACAGATCATTATAAATAACAAAATACACCTTTAAACCAAGATCATGAGCTGACCTTGTTTTGTTATTGGATAAAAATGTAGGAGACACAAAATTCTCAGACTTTTCTCATATGGTGTAATAATTCTTTTTCAAGAAGTTAGGACTAGACACCTGATATCCAACTTCTTCATCCAAATATAATAGCATATCATTTCCATACAAACTCATAAGCTGAAAAGACCACCTTCTCAAAAGGAACCACACGTTTCTTGAACCCCCTCAAAAAAAAAAAAAAAATTGAATAAAACTCATGATGCATTTGGGTTAGGGCAGATGTGGAAAACTGGAAATTGGATGTAGATTTGGATTTTTAAATTCTGTAAATCTCCAGATTCCATCATTTGGGTTTCTTTCAGAGGCATCAAATCCAGAGAAACAAAGAAAAAGACTGTTGAATCCAACGTTTTAGCAGAATTCTTCCAGGAGGATGACCATTCATTTCCATGAAATTGACACAGAATTGAAGTTCAAATCCATTCTACTGTTACAATCCAAACACAGCTTGAAATATTGAAAATCCCACCAAAACAACCAAAGAAATGGTATAGTGACATAATATAAGCACTCAAAAAAACTCCTGGAAAGAAGCAAAAATGTATGAGGTGCAGATCAACATAATTGAGTACGAAGATTTACCTCCTGCAATTCCAACAAGAAATCTAAAACCTCGTTAGATGAAGTTATGAGGTTTGAATATGCTTTCTTGACTGCTTCATCAGAATCGCAGAATGAGGATCTCATGGGTTCCTGCAAACAATTTGTGATCCATTCACTAGATATGTAGCAAGAAACCAGTTTTTACATTTTTTTTATTCTCTGGGACAAAACCAAAGCAAAACTTGTGGTAGCTTATTTGAACTTGAAAATGTTTTCTACAGAAGAAATCTGAACTCAAGAGATTTGTCCCACAGAACCTTCACCAGAAAAGGAACAAAAAAAAAAAAAGATTCAGAGAAGTAATACAACCAATCACAAAAAGATACAGAATATATATTGAAACAAAAATATAACAAAATTGACCATTGTCCAAAAAAGAAAATTCAGAAAGAAAAGATGTTCTGCATTTACAATCAATGGTTAGCTAGCTCGGGTGCTAGAGAAAGTGAGAGTAAAATAAAACAAAAAATAGGTCAATGCACCATACCTGTTGGTTCTTCACAGCTTGACCTTTTAGAAGATCTTCATCCTTATGATGCTTCAAACTCTTCAAAAGATCCCTATGAGAAGAGGGAAAAAAGAAAGGGGGCAGAATGCAGAATCTTAGGAATAAGATTACAGGCATAACAATTAAGGCATTTTTATCAGCAAAAAATTAAAGGAGTATTCATCACTTAGGAAAGAGAAAATGGGTGCCCAAATTTTTTCAGTAAGCCGAGATGAACATGCATGTATATGCAGTATTTGTAACCAGCAGCACCAATTCAATTTCATTGAAAAAGCCCACACCATTTATTTGTTGTAACCCCACATCAAACTGTTTAGATAAGTGATGCACTTGAAAAAGTTGAACAAACAAAAGGAATAAAGGAAATGTTTTCCTGAGTGTATTAATTCAAAATTTACTTATTTCTGTGTATGCATAAGTAATATTAATTTCTGTATGGTCTTGATGTTCACGGTAATGTCAAATTTTGTGGTTAGCTGCATCATATTATAGTAAGAAAAATGTATGAATCTTCTTTTCTGAATTGTCTTTAGCTGCATCAAATTTATGTGTATGAATAAATACTATTAATTTTTTATTTTCTGTTTTGAGTTCTGAACTATTGATGGATCTTATAAATGCGTTATGGTGCAAGTAATACAAGTTTAGCTAGGTGTGGTTGGATTTCTGACCTCTTCCAACCTTGTATCTTGAACAATGGATTCTGAGTTAAGAGGAATTTATGGGTTTTGAAGCTCTATACCCTATTGGTTTATAACAGGTTAAAATGAACATACTGAAGAAACTTAAAGAAAAGGGGACATGATCACGAGCAAGTAAATCAGGGTCCCGCCTGACCACTAGTAACACACCCAATATAGAAGATATACAGGCACATGCAAGTCAAGCGATGGCTCATACTAGGTTAACACCTAGTGTAGATGATACTACATCACCAACCCAGTCACCAGACTTGGGAAGGCATGAGGAGTCCTCTAGTGGGCATGTTGGAGAGGGGTCTTCTCGTACAATACGTCGGTTAAGAGGCCCCACTATGGCCCTAGATATATGGAACATGCCTGAAGGGGAACAAATTGAAGTTGGGTTTAATGAATACAACCAACCCAATGATGGAAAAACAAAGGATTTAATTAGATTTTTGGGTAGCCTTGCACGAACTTCAAACTAGTTGCCCATAGCCATAGATGATTGGAGAGATTCCTACAGAAACAAAGAAAGACATATGGAAACTTATCAAGGTATTAAATTCATTGTTTTCTTGGTTTATTTTTTAGATGTTTTTCTTATGCAAACATGATGATTGGTTTATTATTTTGGTTATAGAAAAAATTCAAGGTGAATGATGACATGAAAGACTACACAATGAAGTCATTGGGTAAAAAGTGGAGGGATTGGAAGTCCAATTTGAATAAAAAGTATTATGACCCTGATCCGGATAGTGTAGATGCACTACCAATTGAGCAGCTTGAAAATCGGGTTGATGCACACCAATGGAGAAATTTGGTACAGTTTTGGAGATCTGAAAAAGGGACTGTAAGTATCTTAAACATTTAAATATTTTTGTTTTTTATTTGAATGAGTGAAAAGTAAATTAGTTGTATTTTAATATAGACAAGATCCATAACCAACAAAGCTAACCACTCCAAACAAACAATCAACCACACAGCAGGAGCAAAGAGCTTCGCACGAGTACACGAGGAATTGGTAAATATACAAATTTGATTTGTTCATTATACTTTCTGCATTCATTCATTTTGTATGTGTTAAAAATAATTACATGTTGTCTTCATGGTAACAGAAAATAGAGAGGGAAGCTGATGTATCACGTACGGATGTATTTTATGCAACACACAGGAAAAAGGATGGAACACTTGTAGATCCAAGATCGGGTTCTTTAATGGTATATTTATTCAAGTGTGTATTAAATGGTATTAATTAACAAGTTGCTTTGAATTATTAATAGTGTTGTATAATATCCAAGGAGGAAATGCAAAATTGCATGTCTCAAGAGGAAGACACTCAAAATGAGGGCAGTGAACAAGGACACGATGATGTTTATGCTCATGTGATGGGCCAAGAGCGTCGTGGCCGAGTGCGTGGTATAGGTTTAGGCCCAAACTCCGTCCAGGTTCAGGGGCCTATGACAAAGCCATGAAGATGCCTTGAGGGCTGCTAATGAAGGTAAAAGAGCAGTTGAAGAGTGTTCATAGAAGCTGGAAGAACAAATTGCATCAATGCGAGAACGGATGGATGCGATGGAAGCTCAATTACTTAATAGACAGGTATCACCCTTGTTTATATTTATATCTAAATAATTTATACTTGATTGCATAAATATTTATTTGATATTTATGTTTCATTAATTCTATGCAGGGATCGAGGTAAATCATCCCAATTGCGAAGACACTCCTCCACACATGCTTTTCAAAGTCCCTTTTATCATCAATTTAGCTCCAACATTGAATCACAGGTGTTTTTAGTAAGTGTCGTTTGATTTAAACACAAATGAGAAAGTGTAAGGTGTTTGTTGACAAAGACAATTGCATTTGCAGGAAAATACAGAATGTAATTTGTTGACTTTCATGCAAGGAGGATTTGTATCCGTTGCCAAAGCAACCATTACAAGTTTAGATCCTCAGAAGATTGTGGGTGGTGTGCCACTTGGTTATGGATGAACAGAGGTCGTGATCAATGTTCCAATTATAAGTGATGCACCATTAACGCGCCCATATGGACGCTATTAGAACAGTTGGAACCATTGTTGGTGTTCTAATTGCTTGGAGTTCAATCCATGTAAGTTTTATTTACCTTGTCTATCTTTTATAGTTAAAACATTTGAATATAATTTTAAAATTTATATGATATGATTTGTAGGTTCATTCCTTATGCTAAGCGGATTTGCATCTATTCCCGGTGTCTCTTTAGAAAAGTATGGAATGATTGTAAGCCAAATTTTGCCCTTGGAAACAATTTCATTTATATTTGATATCCATTTTTATGGGAGTACAATGTGTAGTTAAGATTGTTGGATAGGGGTGGCATGGCACTTGGCTAAGCTACAAGTTTGCATTTTTATGGGAAACAATTTCTGATGTCTCCCCATAGATCCTAAGTAGAATCAAAGGATTTGCAGTCTCATGAGAATATCCTTTTGTTTACAAACATAAAAATGATTCCTTCTGAAACAGAAGAATTATTTATGGCATGTCTTAACATTTGTAGTTCAGATTTAAACTAGCTTAGGCTATTTTCTGAATCATTTTCTTTTCCCAACATTGATTTTGATGGTGAAGCCTTTGACAGGTTGTTTCAACCCTTGCTATTGATCATTCAGGATCGAGGGTTCTAAGAGAGGATTTGGATATTTCTGATTGCAGTTTGGGTTCTAATCTCTCCAATTTTTATCCTAGTTTTAGAGAGGATTTGGATATCATATTAGGGGATATATTGGAGTTTCATCTCTGTAACTTGGAAACTTTGTTCTGGGCTCAAATAGAGTCCCCATATTCCTCTCCCCAGCTTATATGGAAGAATTTTGGACATACCAGTGGGAAAGCTTGTTAAGCTTTTTGGAAATTAAGTAGTGAAATGGTAAAACTGTAAATATAATTCTATTCATTCAAACCTGTACTGACTTAGACACTTAAGCAGTTATGAATACTCCCTACTAATCCTATTAACACTAAATTAACTAAAACAACTTTCAAATAGACCATAATTTTGAAAAGTTACTGGTTATACTCTAGGACATTGAATATTTCTCCCACAATCATTTTAGAGGTCAGTGTAAGAACATCTTTTTTGATTTGTCATTTGTCTTTTGATGTATAAATACCAAATGCAAACTTGTATATGAATATATCTGGTTCTGACTATTAACCATGTATAGAGCACTCTAAGCCTTAGGTTCCCCTAAATTTGATCTATAGACTATAGTAATATAATTACAATTTAAGACTGAAATCCTGTCACAAGCTGACTCTATTAGTAAGATGGTCATAGCATTCCAAAAACACCTTTTATTTACAATATCTTGGTCTCATAGGATAGGCAACTGAAAAGCCTATCTAATGAGGCCAAAATTAAGTCAGAAAAAAGAAAAACCAAAGTTTGACTCTAAAGCTTAGGATGCAAGAAAATTGATGTGGCTACAATTTGAACTTCTGAAATTCTAATACTTCATTAACACCTTTGAGCTATCCTGATTCTTGGACTCATTAAATCTATTCCTGTGACATGTGCAAAATAGATAACTACTCTGCAAAGCTGAAATTGACCCAAAAATGAAATACCTGTAGATTATGGAACTGTCATTGGAATAGATGTTGGGAGAAACTTGGTTTCTTTCTTTGATTATGGAACTGTCTCTAAGATGGATGATATATGCTATTGTCTAAGGGATTTGGGAAGGAAGCAATACTTCAGTCTTCTTTAATAGAAGAGGATATTTTCTAGGCTGATTTGGTTTTTGTCATACTGATTGCTTGTTGAAATAGGCGAAAACCTCTAAAGTATCTTAGTTGATTCTTTGACCGGGTGGTGGCAATTTATTGCTTTCTGCCAGCCTGTGGGGTTGGATCTTTCTTTTTTCTTTCCTTCCCAGTGAGGGTGTCTTTTAACTTGCCTTTGATTGACTAGCCCTGTCAATTCTGGGGCATTGGGTAGGTGGTGTCTTTGGAGATAGAAGAAAGGTGATTCTGGCATAGTCATGGCTTGTGGGAGATTATGGTTTACTAGAAGTAAAGCTTTATTCCCCTTCTTAAGGTCATGGATTTTAATTCTCCATGGGATTTGAGGTAACCTGTATTGAGGGTATTGACTGAATGAGACACCCCTCCTTGGGTCCTTTGAGACTGGGTTATTATATTTGTCAGGTCAAATCCTCGATGTTTAGGCTGAACACTCTATTCTGTGGACCCTGTAATCTGCCAATGCAACTAATCTGAGCTTATGGCAGTCATACAAGGCCTATGATTGAGTAGAGACATGGGTTTCAGAAATATATTGAAGGGGGCTCCTAGGTAATTGTAAATAACAGCCAAGTTCTGTGGCAATATAAATATGTTATGAGGGAACATGGAAGAAAAGAAACTGATGAGAGAAGTTGGTACTAGCTTCATTCATCAAAAAAAAAAGTTGGTACTAGCTTCAAATGGGTTCAGACTTCAGAGGCTAAACAAGGGGTGAATTTGTAACGTTTTATTGGATAAGTGATAAGATGGGGTTAGATGGTAGTTTAGCCCAGCAAGAAAAAGGAATTTCTTGCAACCTGATATACATATCTCATTCAGTCATTCTTTTTCATAACTAATAAAATGGATACTACTTACCAATAAAAAAAGTTGGTTACTAATCAAATATGAAGAAATCACATCTTGCATAAGCATGGTATCACTCCATTCTCATTGAGCATCACAATTACTCTTCAAGATATTGCTTTTTGGTATGAAAATGAAAGACTTGATCTTCAATATTTTATGAAACTACTATCTCTTGTTATCTACTCTAAAAGCAGCAGCAGAAGCAAGAGTTCATCTCTTTCTTCTTAATCTGCTATTCATTCTTTGGTGGATAGCAAGCTTTCCACTTGTTTCTCTGTATCCATTCTTCATCATTAATCCCTCAAATTATCTTCCTTCACCCTTCAAGGCTTGTCAACAGATCAGAAATTTGTAGGACCCCCTTATATATCCTACATCAGTTAACTTGATTTCTTCTTCCATGGTCTCTTTTCCCTTTCCCACATTTACATCAGCATGTAAAGATTGTTTGTATATTTTTATATGCGTTTGCGGAGGGGAGGGTGTTTTATGCTGTAGGGCCTTAGATTGGCATGATAATTGCTAGTAGTGTTAAAGGGAATTCATATTAGCCGAACACTTTATCTGTGAGGCAGGCTGTGGAACCAATGATGGCCCTCCACAGCAGTGATAAAATACATTGGACCCACACTAAGAGGTTGAATGATTGTGGGCCCCATGCATTTTATGATTAATGTGGAGTGTTATTATTGGTCCCACAGCCTGCTGAACAGCTAAGGCGTTCAGCTAATCCTATCTCTGTTAAAGGTAAGCACCTATAATGTGCATCAAAGAATATGCATGCTTTGAAACATATCAATTTAATCTTCTCTCTATGTTTTGCCCAGGTGTCCAATAAAATTCTCCTTAATTCTCCTTTTCCTGTGGAAGTTCATTGTACCCCCTCAACCCACCTTCAATGCTGTCTCGCTCAACTTTGATGGCTATTTATTGGGGCATAAGTATCATGTAACAACTTTAACAGTTTTTATTCTTGTTTCTTGGGGCCTATAGGTGTTGGAAATACTATTATAGTGAAGATCTGTATTAGTCAGGGACTTGTTTATCAATGTTATTGGCTCTGAGAACCTAGTGGTGAAAGGTGTCTCCTTGGTTGTTTCTTTAATGCCCATCTGTTGCTTTGCAATTCTCCATTAAACATGACTCATGCAGACTGTGTCCTGCAGGTGAATTGCATGCCTCAAGCTGGTGCAGCCTGCAACTTATTAATGAGAAAGAAAAGAGATAGGAGAAGGAAAAATGGTGCACCTGCACCCCCAAGAACAATAAAACATGAAGGGTAGTCCCTAAGCCATCTTTCCCCAACTAAGCAACTCAAAGATCATAAGGATTACACTGATAAAAAAACGATCATAAGGGTAAGATGTCCTGCATGAATATATATAGTATCATTCTATTCGTTAATAAGTTACATAGATGATGAAGAAAGTGATGGAAATCTGTATTTCTATCTTGCCTGAAAAATCTTGGTTGCACTTTTCTCATTTAAATGTGTTTCATTGTTGGTTTCTTTAGTTTTAGCAGGGGTTGTATTTGATTCCATGTGCCTGTGCATGGAATTGAGACATCTATAGATTTTGTGTAACGGAGATTGACCTCCAACTTTTAGTCACAAGTTGTCCCGCTCTTTTTGATTTCTATTCTTTATATATCATCTATTGGCAATATCCATTGAGCTTTTATAGCTGGCTTTTATCGAGGTTCATGTACCCTTGCTTATATAGTTAAATTGCTAAACGTGCAGGCAGAGAAGGTTTTCAACCAAGATCTATATTTCAAGAAGACTGTCAAATATGTTAGAGAACCAATGACCCACTTGGAATCCATTGCTTCTTCTGCGGTATTTCATTTGGAATTTCACTTTTAACCTTTTTTTGTTGCAGTTAATCATTGATCACTGCATTAAAAGTTGCTCTGTTGAGAGGTATGCTAATGTTTGATGCTCTTTATCTAGGTACGTGCGGCAATTAAGGTGAAGGCTTCTGTTATTACTTGTTTCACCTCATCTGGAAGGGCTGCTAGGTAATCTCCTGAATCCTGATGAACATTAGAATGTAAATGTTTGGCTATTTAAAGGAAATTTGATGATTATGTTTGGCTGCCCTCACTATTAAAAAAACCTTTTTCCTCTTTGTTTTCAACAAGATCTTTGGGTAGCTAGTTTTATCTGGGCCTTGTACTAGAGAAATTAATCAACATATGCAGTTGTGTGTTTTATTTGTACGCTCGCCTGACAATCTAAATGTACTTGTTCATGCAGATTGATTGCAAGGTATAGGTCAACAATGCCTGTTATTATCAGTTGTCATCCCTCGCCTCAAAACAAATCAACTTAAATGGAGTTTTACTGGTGCCTTTGAGGTATGTGGCCAGCCTAATTATTTATGACTGCATTACTGTGAATCGTTATGAGACTGCTGCCTTAGCTGAATTAAAATCTTGTTGGTTGCATTCCTACTTTAGGCTTGTTAGAGAACATTAAACCTTTAAAGCCCCATGACCACCATTTAATCTCCAGTATATTGGATGTGCAAAGATACGATGCTTTTTGCGTACTACAAAAATGATCAGTAATCAAATTATCTTGGGGTAAATACTTAAAACCTCCCCTGAGGTTTGTGAGAAATACTTGAACCTCCCCTCGCCTTTCTTGCTTGACTGTAGCCTCCCTTGTCTGCTAATGTGGCAGGACAAGACTAACACCTGTTACCAGTAGAATATCATCACATGTGTCCTTGGAAATTTTTCAAAAAACCAGAAATGACCTCATTTAGCCTCACAGGAAATTAAATGTGGGCAAAAATACCCTCTTACCTCTATTGTTATTTATTGGCAGTCACTTATCTTCAAATCTTGTGTCCTATTCTTAAATTAAGTCATAGTAAAATTGCAATAACCACCCAACAATAAAAGTCTACTTGAACTGCTAATCTCTGTTGGGTCCCCTTAACAGGATACCTCAGTTTGTCAACAATTGAGGTCCGTTTGGGAGGGCCAATACAAGAAAAACGGTTAAAGCCAGCGGTCCTTCTGACTGCCGCTATAGGCATATGTAACGTGTTGGACTGGATTTAGGCAAGTTTAAACAAGTTGGACCGGATTTAGGCAAGTTTACACTGGTTGGATTGCTAGGTTCATCCAGGTTCAGCTAAGTTGGGTTGGGTTGGGTTCAGCTATGGTTGGGTTAAGTTTGGTTAGGTTCAGCCTAGGTTGGGACTAAGTTTGGACAGATTGGGTTTGGTTTCCTATTGCAAATTGTAGCTGTTGGATGAGGAAAAGGGAGTGGGTTCAGGTTTGGCTTACTGCTGTAAATTACAGTAGACAGAGGGGTTAAAGGAAGTGGTTTTGGGGCTGATTGGGTGTTTGGTTTTTCTGCTGCAAGCTATAACAAATGGATGGGGTAAAGGGAGTGGGTTCGGATTTGGTTTACTGTTGTAAATTACACTAGATAGAGGGGTTAAAGGAAATGGGTTTGGGGTAAATTACTGCTATAATTACAGCAGTGAGAAGGGCTCTAAGGTGGTGATTTGTATTGTAGGTCACTGCTGTAAATTACAACAGTGAAAGGGGGTCTGAGGTGGTGGTTTTGGGACTGGTTTGCTGCTGGGCTTCTACTTCAAACCACAGCAGTTGGATGGGGTAAAGGGAGTGGGTTGAAGGCTGGCTTTCAGCTATAAAATCACAGCAGATGGAAGGTTAAAGGAAGTGGTTTTGGGACTGTTTTAGTGCTGGTTATCTTCTGCAAATTGCAGCAGTTGGCTGGGGTAAAGGGAGTGGGTTTAAGGCTGGCTTATATGTTGTAAATTATAGTAGATAGAGAGGTTAGAGGGGGTGGCTTTGGGATTGGCTTGGTGCTAGTTTTCTGCTGCAAATTGTAGTAGTTGGATGGTCCTTACGGAAGTGGGAGATGTGTTCACTGCTGCAACTTGCAATTGCTGGGATGTCTCTTAGTAGTGGGTCCACGGTTGGTTTCCTGCTGTAAATCATAGCAGTCGGAAGGTTTAAAGGAGGTGGTTTTGGGATTGGTTCACTACTGTAAATTGCAGCAATTGGAGGGGGGGTCTAAGGAGGTAGGCTCAAGGCTGGTTTACTAATATAAATTACAGTAGTGAGAAGGTGGGTAGTGGGTTCAAGGCTGAGCTACTGTTGTAGTTTGCAGCAGATATAAGGGTCAGTAACCAAAACTACTGATTTATAGACATGTAAAGGTGTAGGTTCAGCTGTGCTTGGGATTAAGTTTGAGCAAGTTTTGTAGGTTCAACAAGTTGGATTGGGTCCACCTATGGTTTGGACTAGGATCAGCTAAGGTTGGGACTTGGGACTAGGTTCAGTAAGTTTAACTAGATTGGGTTGGGTTCAACTAGGTTTAGCTATGGTTGGGTTAAGTTGGACTGGGTTCAGGCAAATTTAAATAGGCTGGATTGGGTTCAGCTAGGCTCATTTAGGTTCAGCTATGGTTGGGTTAAGTTGGACTAGGTTCAGCTATGTTGGTTGAGCTTGGGTCTAATTAGGAAAGGTTGGGTTAAAATGGGTCTTAGATAGTTAAGATACAAAAAGGAAATGAAATATAGTTATGATATCTCTCTTTATTGAAATTGCTTGGCAACTCTAGCTGGCACCAAATGATTTGAAGTTAGTAGGACTGCAAAGGAATCTGATTTGAATCTGATATACCTAGATGCAAATTTCATCTATTTATATTTGGAGTTGAATTGGATCTTTTTTTATACTATTTAGATCACACTTAAGTTTTCCCAAGGAACTGTAGTGGTCAGATTTGACTTTTCCCATTAAATGCACATATATACGACTAAAAGGTTTGTTTACATATAATATTTCTTGTACCTAAGGTTTATTGTTGAAGGACATTTGGCATCTAACTTGAGCTATATTAGGAAGTATTGATTTTATTAGCAATTTTTTGTCGGCAACAATATTCCACTCTTTCTGTTAAATTTTCTTATGCTTGAAGTTTATAAGTTTTAATATAATAATGTAAAACATTTAACTCTTCTAAACCATTTAAAGTTTATCTATTGCTTTCTCTCTGTTAGAAAAGACTATTTTCCTACCATTTCATTGTGTTCTTTCTATACTTCATGTATCCAGGAAATATAATCTAGTCATAAAGAATGTACTTGCTATCATTCAAAATGGCTTAAAATACATGTTCTGTCCCGTTCATGTAGGTCAACAGATCCTACAAGTTTGGGCACTGTTAGAGTTGACATCTCAGAAAGGAATTTCAGAGCTCTTTGGTTGCTGGTGTTCCATTGACTAGTGTTCTTGAGCCCACACAGGCACAATGCCATGATGTTTCTGGATATTGTAATAATTAATAATTTAATTAAAAGTTTTTTATTTAAATTGATTTGTATGCATTATCTGTCATGAGATTTGTATTAAACAGGTGCCAAAAAAAATGTTGAAATCAAATTGATATAAATAATAAAAAATAAAAAAATCAAAGTCGGCAGTCATACAACCGCCGCCTTGGACATAAAAGAGCTCTAAGGAAGTGGTCATGCTCGCCACCTAAAAACCCAAGCAATATTTCAATAGACCTAAGGCGGCGGTCCAAAGAGCTTTAAGGCAGGTCCTGACTGCCACCTAAAAATGGTAATAACATATTGACGGACCTAAAGGTGGCAGTCCAAAAAGCTCTAAGGTGGCGGTCTTGATTGACACCTAAAAAAGGGAAGTAGTGCTTTGACGGATCTAAGACGGCGGTTCAAGCAAGGTTCAAAGTATCAGAAACGTAAGGTTATCGGAAAGATAATTTTAAGAGACGTATCGGGATACACTTTGGATACGGACAAAAAATCAAGATACGCATAAATATGCTAAAAAGCTTAAATAAATTCTAAAATATATATTAATAACGATAGTTACAAGTTTTAGATGATTGCAAATAAGTTATTTAAAGGTAAAAAACTGCAATTTAATGGTCTATATAAAATTCGAGATATCGAGACACACTTAGTAACTATTTTCAAATGATGGAATAACTAAAACGTGAAAAACCAAAAAAAAAACTAAAATAGTAAAATGTATATTTATATACATTAGTTTTAAAATAATCAATATAATTTATCTTAATATTTATTAATACATAAATTTAAATAATTAATTCTAACATTTATTGATAAGCATACACTAAGAAAAAGAGAAAAATTACTTAAAAATAAAAATGCATAAACAAATAACAAGCAATGGGTGTGGCTTAGTGGTGAACCTCTAGTTCTTAAAGCTTAATGTTTAGGGTTCGAATCTTGCTATTGCTAATTTGTAGTTTTATACTAACAAAACGAATTTCTCTGTGTTCCGTGTATCGGATTTGTACCGAAACAATACGTATCAGTCGATACGGTCCGATACGTTGCGAAATTTTGAACCTTGGGTCCAAGGAGCTCTAAACTGGCGGTTATGACATACCGCCGGCTTAGGAATGATTGAACCGCATCGGCCCAGTTCTCAAAGGGTGCGGTCTTAACCTAGGCCGGCAATGGTTTAGGGGGTAGACTCAGGATCGCCACCTTACCTCTGAAGCAGCGGTCTAAAGGACTATGCCGGCGGTCTTGCGACCACCGCCTATGAACTTTTTTCTTGTAGTGAAAACGGATCATGTTAGCTTTTATTTAATCTAATATTCAAGGTGTTTTTACACTTTTGATTAATTTTCTATTGGATTATTATTCTTTCCCTATTGGTTTGGGCACATCTTGAATGAAGAAACAAAATATACCCCCATATGTAATTATGGAATTTAATCCATAGGGTACTTTCTACCTTTAAACAATAATGTAGTTTTTGACTACTTGTTTGGAGTATGTGATGTAGCACAAGTGAAGCCCTTTTGGGGGTATTGATTATATAGGTTAGCAAGGTTGTTTCAAGACTAAGGGAGAAGGTCAAACTAGATGCCGGTGATGCTGAATTACGATTTTGGCAACAAGAAGAGTAGAAGGATATTAGATAGAGAAGGGAGAAAATGTCTTGTTGAAATAGAAAAAGGAAAACAGAGACAGAGGGAAATAAGTGCCATATGTAAGACACTGGACTTGTTGTTAAGGCCAATTATTCACTTAAGCAAAGTTATTTACAAACAATTCAAGAGTTGCAACTTTCACTACAAGGAAAACAATCTAAAGCGGCAGCTGTATAACCGCCGGCTTAGATCTAAGGTGGCACTCATTGGTCCGCCGTCTAAGTGGCAGCTGGCCTAGATCAAGACCGTCGCCTTAGATAAAAGAGTCCGCCACCTTTGGTGGTTGGGCTGAGGCGGTCCAAATTTCTTTAACGCGACAGTCTATCAAAACCGTTGGCTTAGTGTTATTAAAGGTGGCGTTTTCAACTGCCTGCTTAGATTTTGTCAAAAAATGTTTGGTTCTTTAGGTGGCAGTTTGAACTGCCGGCTTTGTTCCTAGTTGACCGCCACCTTAGGTTTAGTCCAACTCTTATGTGCTGGTCTGAACCACTGGCTTATGACCGCCACCTTAGGTCTTGTTTATGGCTAATCCAGCGGTTACATGGCCGTCGGTTTAGATATATATACATTTTTTAATTTTTATGCCAGGTTAATTCTGATATTTGTTGGGACCTCCACTTTTTATTGATTCATCACTTTAATATCTACTTAATAAATAATTCATGACAATTGATACATGAAAAGTTAAGCAACTTAAATAAAAAATGCAATTTAAAACAAAATATATTAAATTAAAGATTAATTAATATCCAAATCAAATTGTTCAAATACAATATATAGTTGACATATAAAAATACAAAGACTATAAAAAAATCAATTTATCGAATAAGGTAGCACAACATCCGATGCAAATCCACTTGGCATAATTGTTGAACCTCTAAATCAAAAACATATAAATTGTTAGAAAATGTAAAGTAAATGAGATAACCATAAAAAATGTATAAAAACAAGACATTCAAGGAGTCAGCATAATTTAGCATTCGCATATCAATAAATGAACTATGCAACTACTAAATTAACCAAACCAAATTGAAACCTCTATGGCATGACAGAGTTAATGTAATTAGATTGGAGCACATAAAAGCACATTAGGATGACTGGTTTGGATTTAATAGATAAAAAATGTAAAATATTCCAAATAATGAATCCATTCTACCCATTTACAAGTTGTGCCAGATGTATCCTTTCGCTAACCTTGAAAAGCTCATAATCATAACTTATAGTTCTATCATATTTTTTTTCTTGGAAGATGTCAGTTTGCATATATCAATCATCAATGTTAATAGCTGAAAGACTATACCTGAACAAGAAAGGTGATGGAAACAAATTAGATGAATGACTCTTTAAAAAAAAAAAAGACTAGATGACTATTTACAAACCATTAATTGTAATTAAACTTCTCCATTTAGTATGGATTTAACCAACCTAAAGCAAATAAATAACATTAACCTTATTCTTTGTTTTTGATAAAATATTAACCTTATTCATATGGTATAAATAAGCAATTTAACACTTACAGAGGAGTTCCATAGAGCACTTTCAACATCAGATGGTGTCAAAGAGTTCCCAACTTTGCTTAGTTCCCGTGTATAACCATCAACGAAGTAACAAATCAATCAAACCCTAATGAAATCAAAAGATGAGTTTATAGCATGTTCAACAGGATGGTCCTAGTATAAACAGAACATACACATCAAACATAAATAGCTCAAAGTCTTACCATATAAGAAAAAGTAAAAACCATACATGAGCCATTCAAGAACGTCTGCTTCATATGACAAACCCAATATTCTTGTCTAGAATCTTTTATTTATGAGGAGGGAAGAACAAATGATTAAGATCAAGTTCAATTAGATGGTATAAAAACACTGCCATAGAAAATTAGTGATTTATGGATTACCTTTTTTATTATGGTTTCCTTTTTCCATGTTTCAACACCTCTAAAAAAATGTCTTAGTAGAAGTGCCTGCAGCCCACATTGACAAATCAAGAATCAAAACACCATAATCAATCAAGAATTCATTCGAATTCAAATATGTAGAATTGGAGAAATGCCACTGGAACAACAATTACCTATGAATATGAAGAGGATAATGAGCAGGACTGTACCCATCCGGTCAACAAAGATCACATTGAAAATTCTTTAGTGAAATTCCCTTGTTGGCCTTGTTTACTTCCATGCAAATTGAAAATTCTCCAGTGAAATTCCCTTGTTCTGTATTCACAAGGTGAAGGTTTCCAGAGATGTAAATTCAACAAGAGATGTAAATTTGACCATCCATTTGGTTCTCCCTTCAATACTGATTGACAATGGTTGTAATATGTAAAAAGTTGATGTCATTAACTAATTAACAAGATGATCTATGTTAAATTGCTAATGCTAAGCAAAACTATAGAAGAACCAAAGAATAAAATGACTAAAATGGCCCACCTTGTTCTGAACCAGACCCAACACTAACCCAAACCAAACCCATAGTGGTAATGCATTGGATCAGAGTAAGGCCTCTAAGATATATTTTGACTTCTAGCTTTTGGTCCATTATTCAACTAATATGGCCTACAATATCAAAATTAGTAATCCCATGTGTACCTGCAGAGCTAATGGCATTTTGTCCAATAATAAACACTCCTAGAAAGAAAATTTTAAGATCTTGAGGGGCTACTCGTTGTTATTGTGGTGTGTTGAGAATGTATGAGTATTTGGATTGCTCTCCAACATGTATAATATTCATTTGGTGGGAAAAAAAAAAAACAAAATTTTAGTATGAGTGATACCCAAAGTAGTCAACCCAAGCTTCACTCCCTTCAACCCTAATTCAATTTTCTTCATAGTCTTGCTATAACATGTGTGTGTAAGAATAGTTTCTATGTAAGGTTATACATACAAACAAGTTTGGTTAAAGTTTTTGTTATAGATGTCAAATTTGTGAGTTGAAAGGAAGAAAGAACCCCTTGAAAATAAAAGGTGATGAAGGAAGATTTGGCCTGACCTCGTAATCACTCAACACGTGGCAAAGGCAACAGCTCGGCATGACAGTACGCTCAAGGCGCGAGCTCCGAAACGAGGAACTAGCGGTCCAAACTCCCTACAAGGAGCTCGAACTCTCCCTTTGACCCCGGGCCTTACGAGCACAAAGGGCAACAACTCGAACTGGCCCGCCCCAGGGCAGTTCGGGCCACACCCCTATCCGAACTCAAGACTTCACCTCGCACACCACTCCAGCACTTCGTCTCCTGGCCACCGAACTGAACAACCATACCAGACACTAAAGGAGTCCGTACCCTGAGGCGGCGCACCTGACTGACTTAGGATCTGACGCTTGACAGCCACACTTCAACGGCCACCTGCCACCGCCACCTGCCACCGTCA